CCTGGACCTGGTGGACCCATCCCTGGAGGTGGCATTCTCTGTGGTCGTACACCCTGCGGAGGACCCATCATCATCCTAGGACCATGATTTTGTTGCGAATGTTGAGGGTGTTGGGGATGTTGTGGATGCTGTTGATGGGGTGGCATTGGTGACTGATGCTGATGTGGATTATGGGGACGCTGACTCTGACTCTGTTGAGGAGCCGGAGCTGGTCGTGTCTTACACTGAGACTCAAACTGAGAACATATACACAATTTCAAATGTACAAAATGTCAAGTTTTCATTTATTTATTGGGAAGAGAAATAACGATTGAGCCATCAAGAAATTCATATCGTTTTCTTGAAAAGATGCAATACAGTACTAATGTGAAGGAAGAAATAAAAAAGATTTCTAAATGTTATAGACATGACCAATTATATGTGTTTTGATTGAAAGAAGTTACTTAAAGGACAACATTAATTTCTTGATAATATATCATATATAATGAAAATTCTATATGTGTAAAAGTGCAAAATTATTTACATTAAAGGATTTAATTTTTTAAAAGATTTAACTATGCTTAGTTTGAATGGAAACTATATTAATGTAAATTATATAAAAATGAACAACAATCTTCGCAAGTAAATTTTTTTAAAAGAAAAGAAGTAAACTGCAGATTCAATCTTATATTTTACTTACACCTATCAGAGTAAAAACTCATGAAAAGAATCATATAACAAAAATAAATTTCTCACAATACTAATTATTTCTTTCCCATAAATAGTTGCTTGTTCATAATTTCGATATATCTATACTTACTTGATTCAAAGCTTGTTTAGTTGGAAATGTTACTACTGGATTCTGTCCATGCAATTCCTTTTTAGGTAATCTTTCCATGCATATCCTCATACTTTGTTCTGATCCCAAAGATATCACACAGAATCCTTTAGATTGTCCATTGGCTCGATTTTCAAAGAATTTTACTTCAACAAAGTCTGATACACCAATACTTTGAACAGCATCAGTTATATCTTGGTCACTTGTCCACTGCAATAAAAATATTTCAATAAGTTTAAATTACTACAAAAATATTGACTTTTTCTCTAAGTTCTTAAAGTAAAGGCTAATTAATGAAAATGAATTAATATTCAATTATTTACCCAAGTCAAATTTCCAACATATAGTTGATGACGTCTCCCAATTTGGTTTGGCTGAATATTATTTCCAAGTTGATGGTAAGGTGCGCTACCATTTGTTTCTTCATTTGGTGAAGTAGTATCACCAGCACCATCTCCACTATTTCCCGTAGAAACGCCACCATTACCACCAGCAGGAGCTGCTATCACATCATCATACAAATCAACGCCATCACCAGCAAACTCATCCTAAAACAGATCATTAAAAATATATCATAAGCTGATTAATTACCATAAGAATTTAATATATTTACATCATGTGAACTGAATATTCTTAAAAATTATATTGTGAAAATAATGTGCAGTTTCAGTATTTATACAAACAAAAATTAATTTAATATTCAATTCCTTTTTAAATCATTCGCATATATAGTATATAAAGTATACTGATATATAACAAATATTATACATAGTATTTAATACATATTAATAATAAATTCAAAATACAATTTTTATGTTATCTACTTAAAGTTTCAAAAATAATATTGAAGAAAGCTTAAAAAATAAATAATACATTAATAAATATTTTAATTTACTACCTTCCATCTCTTTGATAAAGGATAATTTATAAATTGTACGTATGCTACTACCTTTTTTTCGCATATTTTTCTAATATTTTCTATTCCCATTGTATTACATAAATATTTAACTATGAAGAAAAAATAGTTATAAGTAAACATATTCCTTCAAGAACAAAAACATAATTTATAAAGTATTAAAATGAATTTCAATCATCTTATAGAATACAAATTATTTTACAAAAGCCAAAAAATAGTGTAATAGATAAAAAGTAGAAAAGATTAAAAATATAACAATTTTTTCTGGATAAGACGCTTCATTGACGCTCATTAAAACTGTACACACATACCTACAAAAAAAATTCGCTTCTTGAATAAGCACGGATCGTTTCGGTGCAATTTCGGTCGGAATAAAAAAGAAAAAAAAACATCACATACAAATAAAGTGTTCAAACTTCAAAATAATATAAACGCTGTAAGAAGAAAATGGTGTCTCGCATGCAATAATGAAAACTTTAGTTAAAAACTAAACGAAGTAGAGGAATAAAATGCGCTACGAGACATTTGCCTTACCGCTAACACCATTTTGCTTTTCTTGCTGTGAATCTGTGTATTACACGTATTTGCTTTTTAAGTTTTTCCCCAATGCAATAGAACGTGCACGGGCCACGGTAATTATGTAACAGAATAGAGAAAATGTTTATCGGTCGTGATAATCAAATGCAACGTCTACTCGTCACGAATGAGATGTATGTTAAAATCGAAATCCCGGCTGAACGAGAATCGGACACCGCTTGTCGAGGCAATCGTTACCGTTTCTCCTCCATGACGCCGAACAACCCCGCTCTGCTATCGCATTTTTCTCACAGTTTCCAATGTTTTTTACTAAAGTAGCCAATTAACAACAACGCCTATAGAACAACTCGTTACTTATTAGCAATGATAAAAACGAATTACCTGCGCGAAATCTTGCTCGAGATCGTCGGCGTACAAATCAATGTCACCGTCCGCCATTTTACGTACACCGACGCTCACTGCATTTGACGAAGGCGCCAAGCCTAAAGAAATATGCTGTTCTAGGAGAAAACGTGTTAGCGAATTACGTTACGTTTTCGTTCTGAACGGATATGACGTCATACCGCCATCTTTTCCCCTTCCGAGGTAACCGATAAATTTATTGGAACTATACATATGTATGTATTATGTGTATGTAGTTTGCTTGATTCGAGTTAGGAGAGGTAAATAAAACCATGTGATCGAAATCTAGGGGAAAAGGTTCGAATTCATAATTCTGTGTATGTATATATATTTCTAACAAAATCACCTTTTACGAATTGCAACATGTTATATATCAATCGATTAGTTTTAACGCATAGATTACAGAAATACAAAATTATTTTATAGAAAGTTATTATTATTAAAATATTTCATAATATAAAAATAAAATATGTATATGTTGTAAGCATTTTACCTATATTAACATTCAATATGTCTGCCACCGTTGAAAAATCGAATAGAATACAAAGATAATTATCGTGAAATATTTTAATAATAATAAGATTCCGCAAAATAATTTTGGTATTTCTATAATCTACGCTTTAAAACAAATCGATTGATTCTGATTGGTTTTTTCTGATCGGTGGTTTTGGTATAATTCTGATATGTTATAAACTGGTAAACTACATTTTTTACATTAACCCCCTGCCTTATGATTAGTTTTATAGCTGCAAGTTATTATTATTGAAATATTTCATCGCAAAAATTTGATATTGAAAATGAAAAATGATTATTTTTTAGGAAATGAGAATCGAGTATTGGTTAAACGATATATTTACTTTATATAGAATCTTTCTTTGCATAAAATATATAAGACACCATTTACTATACATTTTTTATAAACATAGAAAAGGAAAATAGGAGTTGGAAATTTTCTACAGTGATACGAAATAATTCATTAGCGAGTCGATAACAGTCAATAGTTACAGATCATGTGATCAGTTAAATTTACCTCTTTTGACTTAAATTATTTGATAGCCTTCATTCTTTTCTTTTAAAAAAGGAAAATATACTGGAGTATGATATAACGAAAAAATGCTACAATGAACTGGAAAAGAATATTATTGGCCACTTTACCGATTTTCTTGTTTCAAATTCATTGGAATCATGGTTAGAATAAATAGCTACTATGTATATGCTATTAGAAATGATAGCTACTCATCTCTAATACTACAACCAGAACACGAACAAGGTTCTAGAATCAATTAGTTCGATTTAGTATATTCTACTATTAGAAACGAAATTTCCTCTGTGCTATTATGTATATTCGTTAAAACACCATGCGTAATTTAAGATCTTTTTTATTTACACTTTTTTGTATTACAAAATAAAATTTTACAAAAGGTTTATATTAGAATTTCGGTTTTTCAAACTTTATGTATATATATTTAATGCCACAAATGCTTATATGAGAAATCAATTCTTTTTAATAATTATTAATATAAAGCTGCATTTACATTTCGCTAAATTTCGATAAGCAAAAATTAATGGTTATAAAATTAGAATTATTATTAAAAACTCATAATTTTTTAATTACAAGTCTCTAGTATTTCACTAGATAATTTTAAAATCATTTCACTATCTATTTTTTTATTATTTTACAAATTAAAATTTGAATATTTTAAATAAACATTTCATTCAAGAAGCATAAATGCTTATCTTCATTTAATATTTACTATATTAAAATCCGTTATAAGTTCGTATTCGAAAAAAATTATCTAGGAATTTTTCGATTTTTCAATCTTCATGTTTTGTGTTCTACTTTCAGTATTTTACAAATTGAAATTCTTTAAGAAAGTATTTTTTCTTTCAAAAATATATATAATACATAAATGAATATTTTAAAAAAAATTTTTGAAATATATATGGTTTAAAAAGCATGACAATCTACTTTTCTTTAGATTTATTAAGTTAAAAAAGCTTATTAACTTGGCGTTTGAAAAATGTATCTAGGGATTTTTTGGATCACATGATAGTAGCACTTGAGGAGAACAGAAAAGGATAGAACAAGAACTAATTTCGTATTGTGCGACTTACTATAACGAAAGTACCGACACAGCGACCGGTTGGTTGTTCGTTCCGTAACTCTTTCTTTGTGCAGTCTTAAAAGGTATGTTTGCCCTTTGTTTTAATGCTTTTATTTCAAAGTTTAAATATTCAAAAATAATGATTTCACTCGAAAACAATTATATCTTATTTTTTCAGTTTTCATGCATTTATAACCCTGAAAATTGCTTTTTTTATCTGTCCCATGTGCATGCTCTTTGTGTCGAAAAATTGAACCTTGCGATAGCTTCGCGACTTCTGTATTTCTTTAATAAATGTATAAAAAGAAATAAAACGAACGTATAATAAATGTGACGTAGCTGGTTTCGACAAATAATTAGTAAATTAATGTGATTTCCGCTTTTTCCATGATCTCTGCGTACCCTAGCAAATAACCTTTCTTCCTCGCGAATATGGTGACTTTCAAATGTCAGTTCAACGTCCATGCAGAAACTAATTCGAATTAAGGAAATTTGTCAAGAGTAGATGTTTTTAGAGAACGTTTATTTCGTTCATAGTATGTACTTAGACAAGATTCCCGATATTTGCCATGCACGTTTAATAGAGAACATATCGCAACGTACAATTTAATTTCAGTATGTTTGTAGATTGATTGATAGTTTCTGCTTTATGCTGTGTTCTTTATTGCTCTATGAATTTTTTTTATAGTTTACTCCTTTTAGGTGTTCGCACATATAAGTTTAATCATTTTTTATATATGTTCGGTATAGATGTTCGTTTTGTTCATTTCCTATACCATTTTCTTTTTCCTTGCATGAAGGAATACATACATATATGTCTCCAATTGATTGAAAAAAATTCGGTTGAAATATGTTTTTCAAACAAGTAATTATCATTGTACTTTATTATGATTTTAGAAATAGATATTATGATTTAGAAATAAATATATATGTTGATAAAATGAAATACTTGCTTAATTACTATTTAAAGTAATTTTATTAAGGTTACTGCATATATCTTGTAAAAAAAATATATATATATTTAATGTCTCTTTAATCAAAATTAAAGTGAATGAACTAAAAATAGGCATATTCAAAATTTATTATATTACATACATACCATAATATCATCAGTTCATTTATATTTTGATTAATTTATTTTACTTACGTTAAATACAATATATTTGATCTTAAGTAAGATAAGATTTTTAACAATATTGAAGCAAAGATGAAACATCTAACACAACAGTAAAATCATATATTATTTTGGAATTTTGTATCTTTTACAAAGTTTAGAAATTATTCAAAGATATATATATATATATAGAATTAAATGATTGCTCAAAAACTTTTTAATCTTTTAATTTAAGTACCTTTTTTTTTCATTTTATACTCTACTTTTGCCCAACAAAATTACTTTCTGATTATACAAGTGTCATTTTTACAAAACAAAAAAAAATAAATCTAGATTATAGTACTATGACAACTGATCCAGAGCGTGCTGGTGAAAATAGTGAAATGGAATCTGTTGAAGATGAAGATGAGAACAAAGCCCCAGAGCTTTTCTCCAAAATTTTAAATAGAGCTGATGTGTTAGCTGCTCTACAAGATCGCACTGCACCTGGAATAGAGGTATTCAAATTTCATATTGCAAATAATAAACGGATATTAATGGTTAGTAACTTTCTAAACAGAACCTTGTACAATCAATAGAAAAAGATATAGTAAAATTTAAATTTAAAGCTTTCAACTGAAATTGAAGCTATTCCATTAAAGGTTTTAATCATTGTGTATAACTTTTGTATCTCATTTTAATTATCAATATTGAATTCTGTTTAAAGACTCATATAATTCATTTACTCCTTGATAATGTTTTAATGTGTCTATTTTATCTGATATTTCAATATTTTAGTATTATTCTACAGAACAATTTGTATAAATCAGATTAAGTAAATGGATCATATTGATTTGGAACTTAAAAAAAAAATAGTGAACTTTTGCCTATTGGGTAAAAATGCTCTTTATTTAAGGAAATAGAATGTTGCTTTGTCAAGTATTATAAATTCATTTTTTAATAAGCTTATGTATAATTATTATTTTTTATGTTTTTCTTCAAACTTGAATCAATTGGACAAAAAAGAATTTTGTAGTTCTCTAATATAATTTAATCAACTGAATCCATGTAATTTTGTTCCCTTACAACAATTTTATTATTTTTTTGTTTTGTCCAAAGTAATTCCTATTTACATGTGTTATCAAATTTGTTGCTTGTTTAATCAGCTATTAGTGCAGGCCATGAATTATGCACCGCAGTAGATTAGAATTGAATATTTCTTCAATTATATATATAAAAATATTAATAACTTTGTTTTTTTATTATATTCCATATCCCAATAAGTTTAAATTTTATTTACTGTTCGTTGATTTAAATATTTTAGTTAAATATATTAAATAATTAGGATATAAAATATTACATATGTCCAGTTTCTAGTATTTAAACAAATTTACTATTAAAAAATATTGATTATATTTTTGATATTATTTTTGAAAGCCAATGTTAAAAGAAAACATTCAATTTTTATAGCAAATGCAGAATCTTCCAGCTCCTGTAAAGCGCAGAATTAAAGCTCTGAAACAGTTGCAATTAGTTACGACTAATATTGAAGCAAAATTCTATGAGGAAGTACATGCCTTGGAATGTGCTTATTACAAAATGTGTGCTCCTCTCTATGAAAAGAGGAGTGATATAATATCTGGCGTCTATGAACCAACGGATGAGCAATGTGTATGGGAGAGTGATGATGAAGAAGAAGGATTAACTAATGATTTGAAAACAAAAGCGAATCTCGAAGATGATAAAGAAACTAAAAAAGAAGAGTATGGCCATTTTATTTTCATTAAATAAACTAAGAATTCTGCTGCAAGAGTATAAGATTAAAAATTATTGTTTTCTTTCACACTACTTTTTATGAATGTCCTAATGTTACGAACTCTACTAACAAATCTTAATTATTTTAGGGGTGAAAATGAAGATATTAAAGGGATTCCAGATTTCTGGTTGACAATAT